ATTAAGTTAATTTTGCAAGTTAAATAGGCTCTGCCAGTTAAAAAGCAAAGGATTTAAAATACAAGCCATGCTTGACAGCCCATGATCGATGCAAACGCAAACCTGTGCAAGTTGTAGCTGTTAAAGAAATGGTTATTTGTTGATGGCAATCCTCCTAATTAGTAAGTATATATGCCACATTTTATATTTTCTAATGCCTATACATGTTCTTAAATTGTGAAAAAATATTTGAGCTAAATCTAATCAAAACTACATTAAAATAATCTTAATCACTGGTACAAATTTTAACTCACAGTAGATTTTGTGGGTACTATAATTATAATAAATGCATGTGCTGCTGTGCAGTTGTCATGCAGTTAAAAAAACTGTAGTGGTTATTAAAAATTAATAAACTATCATGTGATCTGTAAAATGGCTACTGCTGATGGGTGGACATATGGTGGTTATAGCTATAAGTATGTTAATGGCAATCCCCCAGATGAGTATCGATGCCACATCTGTAGATTGGTAGCACGGGATCCTCAACAAGTTACCTGCTGCTACAATATATACTGTAAGAGCTGTCTGGATACACTGAAGAGGAAGGGCACATTTGGCCAAGGGTTTATCTGCCCAACTTGTCGTAGCTCACTAGAAGGAAAGTACTTTAAAGATGGAAGAGTAGAAAGGGGAATAAAGTCACTTAAGGTTTATTGCACTAACACTGATAGTGGGTGCCAATGGATGGGGACTATTAATGATATTGACACTCATCTTAATAGTTGTACCTATCATCTGGTGCCTTGTACTAATGAGTGTGGAGCAATGATTAGGAGAAGCTCACTGAAAACACATCTGATAGACAACTGCCGTAATCGATCAGTCAGATGTTCATATTGTCTAAAAGAAGGACCCTACCAACTAATAACAAGCAGCAGTCATCTTCGCAAGTGTCCTTACATTCAAATCCAATGCAATAATAAAGGCTGCCATGAGATAATATATCAATGTTCACTAGCATCACACAATGAGACCTGCCCTAAAGCTATCATATCATGTGAATACAATACTGTTGGATGTACTGAGGTAATGAGGAGAGAAGAACAAGAGAAGCACAATGAAGAATCAGCAATACTACACCTACAACTGACAAAGGAGCAACTAGAAGTAACAAACGATCAACTGGAATTGACAATTGAACAGCTACAGGTAACAAGTGAACACCTACAACTGACTGACCAACAATTGAAAGTGGCTATAAAGACAATACAATCTCTAAAAGCAAAAGTACAAGAGCACAAAAATCTATTGACGACATCAAGTGAAGTGCTTAAACTCAGCCAATTTTCACAAAGGAAAGAAGGATGGTGTAGTCGAGGCTTCTACACATCACCAGGAGGATATAAGGTGGCACTACATGTCTATCCTAATGGATATGGTGATGGTAAAGGTACACACGTTTCTTGCTTCATATATCTTGAGGCAGGAGAATATGATGATTTGTTGGAGTGGCCATTTCAAGGAGAAGTTACTATAGAACTACTGAATCAACTAGAGGATAAGAATCACGTAAAGGTAGCTTTTCATTTTAATAAAGCAACACCATATAAATGTAAGCAAAGAGTGAGCCAAGGACAAGAAGGCCAAGAATGGGGTATTCACAAATTCTTATCACACACTTATAGACTACCTAATAACTGTCGATTTCTAAAAGATGATAGTCTGTACTTCAGAGTCAGTGTAAAGGTTACATCAAAGACAAAACCATGGCTAGCATTAACATAAACTAACAATAGTATTTTTAATTTTAATTAAATATAATTAAGTTAATTTTGCAAGTTAAATAGGCTCTGCCAGTTAAAAAGCAAAGGATTTAAAATACAAGCCATGCTTGACAGCCCATGATCGATGCAAACGCAAACCTGTGCAAGTTGTAGCTGTTAAAGAAATGGTTATTTGTTGATGGCAATCCTCCTAATTAGTAAGTATATATGCCACATTTTATATTTTCTATATGCTCTTAGATTGAAAAAAATATTTGGGCTAAATCTAATCAAAATTACATTAAAAAATTTTTAATTACTGGTACAAATTTTAACTCTCAGTAGATTTTGTGGGTACTATAATTATAATAAATGCAAATAATTGTTAACAATAATGGTATATCTAAATATTATGTGTATTAAAGGTAGCTCACAAAAAGGAACTTTACATTATGTGCAGTTGTAATGCAGAACTTAGGAGTTAAAAAAACTGTAGTGGTTAACAAAATAAACTATCATGTGATCTGTAAAATGGCTACTGCTGATGGGTGGACATATGGTGGTTATAGCTATAAGTATGTTGATGGCAATCCCCCAGATGAGTATCGATGCCACATCTGTAGATTGGTAGCACGGGATCCTCAACAAGTTACCTGCTGCTACAATATATACTGTAAGAGCTGTCTGGATATACTGAAGAGGAAGGGCCGAGGGTTTATCTGCCCAACTTGTCGTAGCTCACTAGAAGGAAAGTACTTTAAAGATGGAAGAGTAGAACGAGGAATAAAGTCACTTAAGGTTTATTGCACTAACACTGATAGTGGGTGCCAATGGATGGGGACTATTAATGATATTGACGCCCATCTTGAGACCTGCCCTAAAGCTATCATACCATGTGAATACAATACTGTTGGATGTGATAAAGGAATGAAGAGAGAAGAACAAGAGAAGCACAATGAAGAATCAATAACGGCACACCTACAACTGACAAAGGAGCAACTAGAAGTAACAAACGATCAACTGGAATTGAAAAATGAGCAACTACAGACAACAAATGAACACCTACAACTGACTGAACAGCAATTGAAAGTGGCTATAAAGACAATACAATCTCTAAAAGCAAGACTACAAGAGCATGAAAATCTATTGACGACATCAACTGAAGTGTTTAAACTCAGCCAATTTCACAAAGA